AAAAAAAAATAATAATAATTGTTGAGTACCTACTAAGTGCCAGGCATTATTTTTAATGTTGGAAAATCAACGGTGAACAAGGCAGACCCAGATGCTGCCCTAATATAGCTCACATTCTTGTTGGGGTGAGACCATAAATGAGTAAAAACATAAATGAGATCATATTTGATAATGAAGGCTTAAAGAGCTGAGGGTACTGCAGTAGAGAGTGATGGGGGGAGGGGCTGGGCTACTTCAGCAAGGGTAACCAGTGAGGGCCTCTCTGAGGAGTTGGCACTTGAACTGAGGCTGAGCGGTATGAAAGAGACATCCATGGAAAGATGGCTGGGGCAAAGTATTTCAGATGAAAGGATCAGAATGTGCAAAGGCCCTGGGGCAGAATGAGATGTCCAGGCTAGAACATGTGAGCTAGCAAGGAGTAGAGGAGGAGAGGCTACAAGGGAACACAACAGCCAGATCAGGGGATGCCTTGAAGGTCACAACAAGAGGTTGTTTTGGGCTTTATTCTAAGTTCAATGGGAAGCCATCTGTAGGTTTTAAGCAGTGAAATTACAGGATTAATTTCCATCCTGACTCTGCTAGATGGGGACAGAATCACAGTAAGATATTCAGGAAAAGAAGAAGACCAGCCAAGACACTTTCTCAGTCTAGCCAAAGATAATGAACTACCATGGCCACAATGGAGATGGAGAGAAGCATATTAATCTGGGAATACAACTTGTCGATGAAATTAGATGGAATCTGGAGAAAAGAAGTTTAACCTTTAGAAGCTGGATAAAGGAGTGTGGGAAGTGTGGCCAGTGAGATGGGAAGAAACCAGGAGAGTGCAGTGTCCTGGAAACATAGCGGAGAAAGAATTTGGTAAAGAAAGGAAAGCCAGCTGAGCCAAGTGAGCAAGAAGAGGACAGAGAACAGCCTATTGGATTTGGCCAGATGAAGATCACATGGGTGACTTTGATTGATACACACCATTTCTGTGAAGGAGTTGGGAAGGCAGAGACTGAAAATAAGTTCAATACATGCAAGGTATTTTTAAAATTCCTCCTTTAGGAATGGAAATTGGGCACCTCATACCTTATCTATGGAGACTGAGACATTTCTTTCATGATAATAAAAATATCCATAATAATAACAACTCATGAGCCTCAGATGTCCAGTCAGTATGGTAGACTGAGCAGACACTGGAAGACTATCCACCCCACCTACCCCCAGTCCAAACAAATAAAAATGTTGGATACAGTGTAACAATAAATTATTTAAGTACAAAATCAATTTCAAAAGTACAGAAAGGAAAATCTCCAGGAGCTCAAAATGAAAATAAAACCCAAACCAGAGTAGTTGATAAAAGCTGAAGACAAAAATCTCACAAGATATTGGAAGTGGTTATAGGAGCTAAAGTCTAGGGGAAGAACAAGACTTCAGGCTTAAGTGAGGAGAGTATGCCTCTGAGTCCCTTCATAAAGCCAGGAACCATGAAGCATGACATGCCCATGAAACTCCAAGCTGAAATGTTACAAAAATTTGTCCAGAACCGATAAAACTCACAGGATCCTGAGTAGCTTCCCATGTGAATCTACTCAGAAGGGACCCCTCCAAAACTCAAGAGAACAAGACTCCTATGAAAGCCTCCCCCCTTCAAGATGAGCTCACAACAAAAAATTACAATCCACAGGAACAAAAAAAACCACCCTGAGGTCTAGTAACAATCAAAAGACATAGCAAATGAGAGAAATTCACCTTAAGAACTAGAAATAAAAGAAAAAAATAAAAGAACTGAGGGTTTTAGAGGGGAGGGGGATGGGGGATGAGTTAGCCCGGTGATGGGTATTAAGGAGGGCACGTATTGAATGGAGCACTGAGTGTTTTACACAAACAAGGAATCATGGAACACTACGTCAAAAACTAATGATGTAATGTATGGTGACTAACATAACATAATAAAATAAAATTTAAAAAAAGAAACTTTAAGCACATGTAAAATCTTCAAAGAGAAATAGGAAAAAATACATACAAAAACAAGATTGAATGTCAAAGCAAAGGCACATCTGAAAAGAATTAAATGGAGATTCTAAAAATGAAAAATACACTCATTAAGGTAGAAAAGATAAATAGGTTAAGTAGAAGAATAGATACATTGAAGCAAAAATACTGAACTCTAAAACAGACATTTGGAAATCACACAGAATGCAGAAAAAATAAATAAGTGGATAATATGAAAGAGTAATTTAAGATCTGCCTAACAGAAAGGGAGCTCCTGTGCTCACTCTGGCAGCACATAGACTAAAATTAGAATGATACAGAGAAGATTAACATGGCCCCTACACAAGGATGACATGCAAATTCATGAAGTGTTTCATATTTTTAAAAAAAGAAAAAAAGAGTAGCTCCAATATAGTAAGTTGAACTCTCTTTGTAGGTCTAAAATGGTTGACTATCAGCAATTTCATACAGTTTTACCTACAGTGTCTAATATAAGTGGTGGAAAGGAAAACAATAAAGAATGTGGGAGGGGCTCCCGGGTGGCTCAGTCGGTTAAGCATCCCAACTCTTGGTTTCGGCTCAGGTCATGGTCTCGGGGTCTTGAGATCAAGCCCCACATTGGGCTCTACGCTGGGTGAAGAGTTTGCTTGAGATTCTTTCCCCTCCCTCTCCCATCTCCTCTGTTCCTCCCTCTGCTTGCACTCTCTCTCTCTCTCTAAAAATAAATAAAATAAAATCTTTAAAAAAAAAAAAAGAATGTGGGAAAGAGACAATGTTTAGAGAGCTGATAGCTGAGAATTTGCAGAATTAAAAAAACGTGAGTCCTCATATTGACTCAAAACAATAGAAATAAAGTGTAGTGGACCTATCAAACATCAAAGACAAAGGAGGAAAGCTTAAAAATGACTAGAGAGAAAAGAAAGGACTGAATGATAGTTGAATGATAGCAGACCTCTTCCCATTCCTTTTCAAGTCCAGAAGACAATGATACAATCGTATAAAGACTTACAGAAAATGATAAGCCCACCACTCAAGTGAGAGCTGTAAAGGACATATTCAGATACACACGGAAAAGGACAAACACATCACCCACAGACTCTTAACTAAGAAAAGTGCTACCACGAGAAAGCGAAGTCAGAAAGAAGGAGGGGAATGCCCAAAGCAGTGTGAGTCTACAAATTGGTAAATAGTTGGAAATCCAAATAAATATCAACTGAAAGGAAGTGAGAATGACTAAAGGAAGAGTAAAAATAGGGTAGAACTAAAATATTAAACAACACTAATATTCTTTAAAAAAGGGAAGAGTTCAGAATTTAAAGCATTTTCTAAGGTCACTGAGTAGGTAAGGCAGAGGATAGAGAGACCTGCAGATTTTGCCAAATATTCACCTTAAAATTTGAGGACAACTGCTAAAAATATAAATGTAGAATGTATTTCTTCGAAACCTGTAGTTACAAAAAATAAGATCAACCCTACAGACAGGGCTAGACACTTTTTCTATAAAGGGCCAGATAGTAAATATTTTCAACTTTGTACGGTTCCTGTCAAAACAATTCGACTCTGCCACTGTAAAGCAAAAGCAGCCATGGACCATCTGTAAGTCAATGAGCATAACTATGTTCCAATAAAGTTTTATTTACAAAAACAGGTGACAGGCCAGGTTTGATTTGAAGACCATAATTTGCCACCTTTGCAAATGAAAGGACAAAAGAGAATAATCAAGAAAATGTATATATGTAAAAAACAAAAAAAATAAGTCCATGAGGAATCACAATAAAAGTAAATGCATTAAATTTGTCTATTAGAATATCCACATTGCAGAATGATACAGTGTGATGCCATGTATATACTGGTTTAAAACAGAACAACACCTTCTACCATTTACGGATATACTCATGTGCAGTAAAGGAAAGAAAGGATGCATCCAATTCCAGAGAGTGTTGCCTCAGGCGGGAAGTGAGAAAAATAGATTTGGAGAAGGGTACAATGGAGAGTCAATATAACTGTCAAAGATTTTGTTTCCAGGGGGCGCCTGGGTGGCTCAGTTGTTAAGCGACTGCCTTCGGCTCAGGTCATGATCCCGGGGTCCTGGGATCGAGCCCCGCATCGGGCTCCCTGCTTGGCGGGAAGCCTGCTTCTCCCTCTCCCACTCCCCCTGCTTGTGTTCCTGCTCTCGCTATCTCTCTCTGTCAAATAAATTAATAAATTAAATAAAAATCTTTAATAAAAAAATAAAAATAATTTAAAAAATAATAAAAAAAAAAAAGATTGTGTTTCCAAAACAAACCAAAAAGCCAAAGCCAGTTTAGCAAAACATTAATATTTGTTAATTCTAGGTAGTGGGTACATGGGCATTACATTACTCTTCATATTTTTAAGTTCGAAAAGTGTCTTTTTTAAGCACTCATATCTCATTCAAACCATAGCAATCATTAGGAGAGGAGTATTACAAACTATATTTCCAGATGAGGAATTTGAAGTTCCACACAGGCCAGAGACTTGGAAAAAATGAGACCATAATCTTCCAAATCAATTAAATGCACTCTAGATACTGCATGACATTTTCTGGGAACTTGAAGACATCTATTTTGCAAACACCCTGTCTCTATGATCCCTGGGACCCCCATCTTTACCAGATACTTATTCTCTTCCAACCAATCCTCCTGCCTCACCCCCTTCCCACCCACCCTCTGCTCTCTAGACATTTATGGTGTGAAAATGCAGCTTGAATCATACCACACTCCACCTCTTCAGTGTCAGTTGTGGGCCTGAGGATATGAAAACAAAGAAGACATAGTTCTCTGTGTGATAATTTCCAACTCAACATCTACCTGGGCGAGCATTAACTTCTCTAAGCCTCCATTTCTTCATCTTTAAAATGGGCATCACCAACCCTACCATACAAGTTACCTAAGGTTTTTTCAAGAATAAAATGAAATCATCTAGTAGATATCTGCCCTTACAGAAAAATACCAAACTCCTGAGCACAGGGCCTCATAGGCTTACCCAGATCACACAGGTCACATTTGAAAAAAAAAAAAATGGTGTATTGTCCTGCACACACGTGGCCATCCCCAGAACACCCTAAGCCAATCACACACCCTCTGCAGGCCTCTGCTTCCCAGTCATTAAAGAACAGGTTGGTCCAGACAATCTCTAAGAATACCTTCAGCTCTGCCATCTTGGGTCACCCACTTGGTTCCCCTGGGACCCATAAAAGCAGAACCTTCAAGGCTTGTCCTATGCAAACATCAGCCCCAGCCATGGTGAAGAACATGGCATCATTAGTATTGCTCATGATAAGTGGGATGTTGAGTTCCCTAGAAATGAAAAGGCTTATTTATAGAGGTGTGGGGAAGGGAGCCAGCATTCCTGCTGCTATTACTCCAGCTGCCCACCACATGGGCCCCTGTCAGTTCCTGAATAGGCCAAGTTCCTCCCACCACTGGGCCTTTGCACACACACTGTCCTCCCTTTGTGGAATACTCTTCTCCACCCTTTCACCTAGTTAACGCCTACTCTGCTCTGCCACCAGGTCTCAGCTCAGTCTTCGTTTCGTCAGGGAAGCCCTCCTGGACTTTCCAGACTAGTCAAATTCACTGATTACACATTCTCATGGAGCTCCCTGTATCGGGTCATGTATTACCATGATAATGCTGTGGAACAAAACCTCCCCTAAGCTTAACACAATCACTGCATATTATTCCTATAAGTCTGTAAGTCAGCAGGACTGTTCTACCAATCTGAGCCAGACTCAACTGCTCTCAGGTGGGTTCACACTTATATCTGGGGTCAGCTGGTGAGTCAAAGTTGGAGGCTGGTTCAGCTGGTATGACACTGCCATGCTCCACATGGCCTCTCATCCACAACAAGCTCACCTGGGCATGTGCTCATGGTGGTGGCAAGAAGCATGTAAGGCCTCTTGACACCTAGATTTGGAATTGGTACAGCATCCCTCTCACTGCATTCCATTGGCCAAAGTAAGTCACTGGCCATCTCATAGGCACGGGGCGGAGAAATAGCTTCCACCTCTTAATGGGAGGAAATGAAAAGTCACATTGCACAGGGAAGGTGGGGAGCTGGGACTATTTTTGCAATCAGTGTATCACACTCCCTTTTGAAGTACACATCACAATCGTAATTTTCCCTTTTATTCATGTGACTGTTACCATCTCACCCACTAAACTGTGTAGTGTAAGCAACAAACCTTGGTTGTATTAAACCATTGAGATATTAGGACTATTTGTTATACAACATAACTAACCTATCCTGACTGATACAAATGTTTACAGCTGCCCACAGACCCCAAACCTCCAGCTCTATTCCTAGCCTATAAAGTCAATAGAAATGCATGTTGCTGTGGTTGTTTGGAGGTTAACACTCTGGCCCTAATTGAGATTCTTAGTAGAGTGGGCACTTTTATGTGTCCTGAGCATCTATGGTGTAATTGTATTTCTTCCACACAGAGAGGGTTCTCTAGAAACAGACAGAGGGTAGTGGGAGGGGGATCAGGACTTGGCACAAAAGAATCTTTCACTTGATGGTTTAAGTTCCACACCAGCTATTCATCTCAACAATCATTAACATTCACCTACTATTCCAGGCCTGTGCCAAACCCTAGGCATAGAAAGGGGAGATGCTCACTTAGTGAATAATTGAGTCCAACTCCCTGATTAAGCAGATGTTGAGCACAAGACTTTATACCATTTGCTGGGGCAGAGTCATTGACCAGTAATGGCTCCCCCAAAATATGTCCAAATTAAGGATAAATCCACCCAGCCTCCACCGACACAACCATCCATCCATTCATTCAATATCTTGAGCACCTGCTATATGCTATTCCAGAACACCCTGTACTAGTTACTGAGGATATATTGGAGAACAAGAGAAGCCAGAACCCTGCCCTGTGAAGCATTCATTCTGGTGAGGAGTGGACAGAGGTAGACAAGGTTATCCATGATGGTAGACATCAGAATCACTACAAGTGCTTTGGGCCACCCTTCTGCATTTGCATCAGTATCTGTAGGAAGTTATCCAGAAGCTGGTCCCATAGCAGTGTTTAGAAGCACTTAAGGAGTCCTGAGCACCCCTCCCAGAGGAGGAGACCAGTCTCCAAGCCAATATCAAATGTGGTAGGACCCACAAGTCTCAGATGAGCTCCAAGGGGACTACACAGTCTTGCCATGAAGAGACGCTCACCATGTGTTCCCTGTCCCAGCCACGTGCCAACCTACAGGAAAGAAGAGAGCGATGCTGGGATCCCACCACCCTTGGGGGCTCTACCCAAGCCTTCCACGTAGATAGACCACAGTGAGGAGCTTCTAATAGCATGTTGTAGCTGGTGCGCTCAAGTAGCCACTTGGCTTGAAAAATAAATCAACAG